CATTTATACCCTTTAGTCTCTCTGCTTTCTATTCCCACTCAATAATTGCCTATCATATCTAACTTTTCTCAAATTCCATTAAGGTCCTTAATTTCAATCTTGTTTATTTTTTATTATTTGTCTATATTTAAAAGAGAAATCTTACTTTTTTGATAACTTATTTAACTTTTATTCTAAATATTTAGATGCTATGCTATTGGGTGCATATATGCCAAGCATTTGATTTAATCCTTTGTTTATAGTACCTTTCAGCATAATGTAATTTCCCAGCTTATCCTTAACTAAGACTATTTTTGCTGTTGCCTTTTCTGGGATCATAATTGCTACTCCTGTCTTTTTAACTTTAAGTCCCTGGTTTTAATCTTGTGTGAATCTTTCTGTCTCAAATGTGTTTGTTGTAAACATATTTTGTATTCTGCTTTTTGATCCATTCTATCCTCTTCTATTCTATGGGTGAGTTCATCACATTCATAGTGATGACTGTTATCTGTATGCTTTCCTTCATTCACCCTATTCTCTTATACTTTTCCCCACTGTTTCCCAAGTCTACTTTACAAAGAAGGTATTAAGGGAAAAGGAGTGGGCACAGCATCAGTGTTCTAGGTTTGAAGCAATCTGCTTCCTTGCTCTCTTTATTATAACCACAGCCCAATCAGAGGTTTTTACCATTTCTTTCTTTCTTTTTAAACCCTTGTTTGTGATCTACCCTCCATGGTTAGAATTTGCTTATGATTAATCCCTCCAATTCTACCCTCCCTCTTATTCCTCCCCTCTTTCCTCCCCATTCCCTTCCTGTTTCCCCATTGAGTGAAATATATTTCTGCTCAATTCTGTATGTGTCTGTATTCTGATCTACTTTGACAAATTCAGATGAAAGTTCTTCCCCACCCATTCTTTCTTATTTTTTATCTTATGATACACTATGATTATGTGAAATAATTTCCAACTCCCTTTCCTTGTGTCTTCATTTCTGCCTCCCTTTCCCTCTTTTAAAAGCATCAAAACATAACAAAAAACTGTCTTATTTAACTCCCTCTATGACCCCTGAAAACACTGATTCTGAGAGGACTCTCCCATTACTTGAATATAAAAACTTCATCCTTGTTTAGTCCTTTCTGATTGTTCACTCATATTTACCATTTTAAATTTCTTTTGACTCCTGTGTTTGTATTTCAAAGTTTCTCTTCAGCTCTGGAATTTTCATCAAGAAAGCTTGGAAGTTCTATGTCATTAAAGGTCCTCTATAGGATTTTACTCAGTTTTTCTATTCAGGTTTTTCTTTGTTATATTCTTTTGCCTTTTGCACTACTGTATTTCAAGTTCTCCACTCCTTTGTTGTGATAGTTGTGAAATTTTGTATAATCTTGACTATGACTCCTCAATACTTGAATTCTCTTCCTGGCTATCTGAAGTTTTTCCTTTGATCTGGAAACTCTGGATTTTGGCTTTGATGTTCTTGGTAGTTTCCATTTCGTTTGCTTTTTGTTTTCAAAACCTTGCCTTCTGGTTCTGAGATGTGGGAAGCTTTCTTTAGTGTTTCTTGAAATATATCCACTTTTATTTTTTTTTTTTTGCCGGGGCTTTGAGTAGTCTGATTTCACTCATAAAATCATTTTTAACTTTTATTTTTTTTTAACTCTTGCTTTATGTCTACCAGGAATTCTAGTTGAAAATTTGTTCTTCTTTGAGGCTTTACCTAGAGACTTTTTGGAGTCATTGTTTTCATTAGGGTTTGTGTCTTGGGGGTATCTGTCACTCTAACATCCCTTTATGTTGGAAATCTTTTTATTACTATAATTATTACTCTTTCTTCTAGCCTTACTTCCCAAACTGAAACTGTTCTTAGGGTCAGGGAATGGGAATGGCTGGGTTCTGTTTTAAATTTTTTTTTGGTCCTGTTGCTGCTTTCTCTGGATATTGAATGCTATGTTTCTCAGGAAACTCTGGGGCTCCTCAGGCTGGGGAACTGCAAGCTTTCATTATACCCAAAATAGCTTAATCTCGGGCAAAATCTGTTCACTGCCCTTCTGGTCTGAAGGTCTTTCCACAAGCTAATAACTCTAGCTGGTATATGGGCTACACAACTGTAACCTTGTCTCTGACTGGAGCTCCAGTAGACTGCTGCTGACTCCTGATCCTGTCAGCTAGCTGGCAGGTTCTGCAGGTTAAGCGTGGCAGAACTGCAGGCTCCTCCTTGGTCTGAGCTCTCTGCCCTTCTTATTCAGCTGCAGACCTCAGATAGGTATGAGACCCTGCTCCAGGGTAAAAGCAACAGAGCTACTGTTTCTTCTGTTCCTGATTTAGTATTCATCCTTGGGTAATTACCACAATATGTTCTGGTCTACCATCCCCCAGGCTCAGGTCTTCTCCCAAGTCCACAACAAATCTTCTAAGCAGCTATTCCTGCTCCTTGACCAGCATCAGTCATCCCTGAAAGATCTGGGACTGCTTCTTACCCTAATGCATAGCCACAGGCCATAATTTAGATCCCTTCCTCGAAGGCTCCATAAAGTACCTTCCTGCCTAAAACCCTACCCTGTTGTCTGAAGGCCTGTCTCCTTATGCCAACTTGGGTTGAAAAAAAAAAAAAAAAGACTCCGATTTTTCTCTGGATTTCTCTATCAGGATTAAGTCTAGTAATCTTCCTAAATTACTGCCAGAATAACTGTGAGAGAGAGCTGGGCTGTACTGCTTCCTCCTATTTTACCATATTGGCTGGTCACCTCTCCTAGTCTCCCAGTCAATTAATCCTCTTTTCTTTTCACATGCTTCCCTACCCATGCTGAATTCCTTAGTCAATTATTTCAACAATGTACTTATTAAACAAGACCTAGTAACAAATGTTCATTTCAATCTAGTGTCCAATAAAGTCAGAACACAAACTACTGAGAGACTTTTTTAATGGAAAAGAACTATGAGGAAAACTGCAAAGCAGTACAGAAAAATAACTTTAGGTCAAAGCTTAAGCCATAGACACAATAAATTCAAATGGATAAAATATCTAAATACAATGTTATTGTAGTGTGTGTCTGTGTGTGTGTGTGTGTATGTGTGTATGTGTGTGTGAGAGAGAGAGAGACAGAAGAATATTATATTTTTCAAAATTATGGATAAGGGAAAATGCATAACCATACCAAAGATAAGAATGCTCATAAAAGCAAACTAGATAATTGTGATTATATAAAATTTTAAAAGCATCTGAAGATTTTTTTAAAAAAAAAATACAGTTAGAATTAGAAAAAAAGGTATGGATTAGGAAACTCTTTGTATTAAGTATGTTTAGTAAAAACTGATATCCAAAACTCTGTAAGAAGTTGACAGAAATATGTAAAATTAAAGGGCATTCCTTAATAGACAGACTCTGTCTGAACACTATTTTCAAAGGAGAAAAATGCAAACTACCAAGAGCTACCTGAAAAAAAAGTTCAAAAACAGGGAAATATAAATTAAAACAACTCTAATTAGTCCAAGAGAACAGCTGTTGAAACAGCTCTCCCTCCTTCTGGTATTGAGGCAGAGAGGGCCCATAAGTACAGAATGTTCCATACCCAGTCATTGTATCAGGTGGTTATAATCAAATTTTTTTTCTATGTTACAGGAAAAGGCCCAGATTGATTGACATAAAAACAAAAAGCTATGCATACAATTTATTAAAATAAATTAAAAAAACCCTGAGGTATCACCTTACACCCATCAAGCTAATAAACATGAAAAAAATATAGGAAAACATACAGTTTGGAGGTTTGGAAAAGGTAGCATGCTCTTTCACTGCTGGTAAAGTTATGATTTCAAATATTCTGGAAAATTTGGAATTATGCTAAAAAAAGGTATCAAAAGGTCCATGGGTACAGAAATGTTCATGGTAGCATTATGTATAATAACAAAAAACTATAATTAAATGTACCCAATGAATGAGGAATAGCTGAAAAATCCTGGCATATAAATATAATGGAACATTACGTATTCATAAGGAATGAGGAATTTGAAAAATTCCGAAAAACAAGGGAATGCTTGTATGAAGTGATACAGAAAAAAAAAAAAGAAAGAAAGCAGAGCCAAAAGAATATAACGTCTACAACAATGTTGATAAAGTTAACATGGAAAGGAAACAAAATTCTGGTTTAATTGTCAACGTTGGAAATATTCAGTTATCATGCTCTGTTTATCAATAAACCTTTTCATGAAGTTCTGTTAAATTAACTTCATAAAGGGGGGGCGTTGTTTGCATGTTTGTTGGGAAGTGTCTGCCATGTCAAAACAAAATACATAAAATTTTAAAAACAAACAGAAAAATCAATAAATTCCATTTCATAGAATGTACTTTATACACATAATCTTTGCCCTCAAGGAGTTTAAGATGCACACACATAGGGGAGACTAAGTACACAGAAATAACCATTATAATTGTTGTTTTTTATTAGACACGAAAAAGTTAAAGTTAACAATATAAAAGTTTGTTTAGGTTGGGAATTGTCTATTGCATCAAAATAAAATATATCAAAAAATTAAAAATTAAAAAACAGTATGTTGCTACCTTCTTAGAATCCCTCTGAGGACAAGGACTGTATCTTCACCCATGCATTTATATTAAGCACCTGTTAAGTGTAAGATACTATACAGGTGCTGATTATACAAAGATAAAAACCAAACAATTTCTGCCCTCAAAGGGCTTACATTCTACTGGGAGTATACAATATGTGTCTTCTACTTTTGTTCTGTTCACAGGCCTTACCACAATAGCGAGCAGCACATACAGACCTGAATAACTGGTTGATTGAACAAGGGAATGTCAGGCAGAGACAAAAAATACCGAAATAAGACACTAGGTAAGTTGGGAATACTAGTTTAGACCCTTCATCAACCATCCTCCTCAGTAAGAACAATTTGAGCTCAGATCCAACTTTGTTGGACAAAAAAATCTTCAGAACAAGAGAAAGAAATCTTTATACTCAGTGAAAGATGATGCAGTTTTTAAGGAGAGAGAAGAAACCCCAGCTCACCTGGGATCTGGATGCCAGGAGCCCAGAGGTCATTTCCTCCACCTCTGTGCTCTGTTTGGGGAGAAGGTCATACTTCTCAGGCAGAGCTGGGAAAGAAAAAAGAACCATAAGAGAGACAATCCTACAACTCTCAAACCTACAAGACTAGAAATTGAAACGCTGCATTTGACTTTGACCCCCTCCCCAAGCATACACGGGTCAAAGGGTTTCCAGTAGGATCCCTATCCCCTGCCTAGCTTGTATCCTTGACTTTAACCTTGTGGTCTACAAAGTTCCAGAGGACAGAATTCGATGCATCCTTGGAATGAGGCCACGTGCCATGAATTCAAAGCTCTGTTTCCATCGGCACTGACAATGAATGGAATATACCCTCTCTGATTCAGTTACCTCCTCACTTAATAAAGAAAAATACTGTCATTTCCCTCCCTACTTTAATTTTCCAGACTCTTCAGAGAAAGCATACTTTGATTTTATTGTCAGTGAAGCAATGTGGCCCAAAAGAAAGAGCACAGAACTAGCTGGATTATAAACCTGGTTCCGTCACTAACTAGCTGTGGGATTCAAGGCAATTCTCTTGACCTCTCCAATCACAATTTGCACATTGGTAAAACAAATGTAAATATATATCCTACCAGTCTCTCCTGTTCTTGTGGAGATAAAATAGATAATAAAACAGAAATCTTTTTGTCAAGTAACAAGTTTAATTCATAAACAAAGTACAAATACAACCAATATCACAGAAACCATATGAGAGAAAGATTTATAAATGATGGGTGACTGGGCTATTGCCTCCCATAGGAATAACCAATGGAAGGAGAATGGGTTCCTGGATTTGGGATACATGAGTTCAAATCTCACCTTCAGTATTTTTTTTACCTGTTAACCTCACTTTTAGCTAGACCTATGATCCTAATGTTGGCTTCCAAGGGCATTTTTTTTTCTCACAGAAGAGCTAGAAGGGGAGACCAGGGCTAAATACTTCATTGGGCCATACTAAGACTATGAACATACTCATTCAATGAGCCCATCATACCCTAAAGCCAAGGAGACCTTCCTCTCCCCAACTCTGTTCAATTACTGATAAAACTAGGCTATTTAGTAGAAAAAATTTCCCTATACTGTTCAGAAAGGCTGTGCAATAGTATCATAAGTCCGGATACAATATGCCACAATTCTGATTTTCTAGTGTGTCCCTACTAGAAAATTTTCCCCCAAAACCATTACAACAATTACCCAATTAACAATACATTATCTTATCAAACCTAGGACCCAAGTTCCTAAGCCAGTCCTTCCCTGGGAATATTAGGGTACATGAACGAGGGACTGTGAGGGTAGACCATCAAAGGTCTGACAATGGAAGCTTTGGGGCAGGTTTCCCAGGTAGCATTTAGGAGATAGAAAAGAGCTAGGGCCAGGCATACTCACAGGTTGGGGCAGTCATTCTCCTCTGCATCAGAAAACTCCACTCAGGAAATTCATCATTTTTATACTTTTGTGCACAATGTAATTTTTTTTTTCCTCTTCTGTTTTCTTTTAATGAAAATCCCTTTTGGAAAAAAACTACAACCTGTCTTGGCTGAATAAAGAGGACAGTGGTTTTTTGTTGTTGTTGTTTTTGGGGGGTTTTCCCCTCACATTTTCAGCAGGATAGATTGAGGAATCAATGTACCCTAGATACATTTCATGTTAGTGGCCAAGGGACTGGGTCAGTCTAAGACCAAAAAGAAGTCGATACGGGGATATGGGGAAGAGAAAGAAGAAGGAGCCAAGGGAAAAATGGAAAGTGGGAACAAAGAACCAAGCAAAAGACAGAAATTAGGGTCAGCTATGGATTTTGATCCTTCCTGACCTATTCACCCACACACCCTCCCCTAAGTGCTATTTGCCTTTGTCTCTCACTGCAGAGATTTCTCCCTTCTCACATTTTGTAATCCTCACCTTTCTTCTCAAACATGTTCACCAGATCTTCCATAGTCACTCCTTCTTTGTTGTTCACTGGATGCTCTGATTTCCTCCAAGCACTGTCTCCTAGGGCAAGATGGTCAGGAATTATTATAGCAGTCACCAACTCCACCCAAAGGTTCTAAAGAAAGCCCCAACGTGTGTCCTCCTAAGGGAGGTGCTGTTCTTCACTCGGCCTCTTCTATCTTCACCTTCTTTTGGAGAAGGACTCTATAGAAGGAAAAGTAAATTCCCTTTAGATGGGACCATCTTCACTCTGGGGTTCATATCTCATTCCCCTACAGTGAATATACCCCTTGGTGTCCCAGGCTAGGTCCCTTAAAACTCTCCTAGGACTGTTGTAGGTAAACAAAGGATTAAGTCACAAGAGGACGCTAATAGCCTCAGTCTCAATGACTTCAGGGCTTTCCAGAGGCAGCTAGAGACACATAACAAATAAATCCTACACAGTAAGCTTCATTCACTCCACAATTAACTCACTTGCGTTGTGCTAGGTTTTATAGAAGATCAAAGCTTTCATGAAGAATACAAACTTTTTGCCCTCAAGGAGTTTACAATCTGGTTAAGTAAAGCTGCAGGTGGCACCATAGTCAAAAAGTACACAAATACATACCTGGGGCCCTTTACTAACTGGTGAACACAAGGAGAAGCATGCACACACATATATGAGGCTTCTCTTCTTTCTCATTCATAGACAGAAACAGAGATGCACAGAAATAGGGCTCCTCCTAATGCAGACAGACATACAGACAGGGACACAGGGTGATTCTCTTGTTACACACACAGACACAGAACACCAAACACTCTCTACCTCTCACACTTGAAGCATGGACACATGGGCACAGTGATACAGGGCTCTTTTCTTCTACTACAAACACATACACAGGGCTCCTCTGCCCTCCTTCTTTCTCATGGACATAGACCTAGGGTTCATCTCTTTCTTGCTCTTTCACTCTCCCCTCACCTCTCTCCTTCTCTCCTCTCTTTCTCTCTCTCTCTCACACACACACACACACACACACACACACACACACTCACACAGCTTCTCTCCACAAACACAGCCACATACAGCCATAGGACTCCTTCTTTTCATAGTTTCATGCATAAAGAAGCAGGGGTCCACTTTTTTTTTTTTAAGGAGAGACAGACACAGGAATATAGAGCTCTAGTCTGCCCCTCTTTCTCCCCAACCCTACACACATACACACAGCTCCTCTCCTGCCAGACACACATATACATAGTGCTTTTTTCCCCTCCTCTCTTACACACACATACACAGGGTTCCTCTTTTCACACATAAAGACACATGGACACAGAGGTTCTCTCTTCACACACACATACACTGCACACAAACCAAGATACCCAGGGCTCCTCTCCCACACACAAAGACAGTGCTTCTCTCCTTCCCTCCTACTCTACCCCACCCCATACAGTGTTCTGCTTCCCACTTCACTTCCACACACAAGGCTCCTCTCCTCTTTTTAAACATATATATGTGTGTGTATGAGTGTGTGTGTACACAGAGCTCCTCTTTTTACACACAAAGTGTTCCTTTCTTCTCACACACAGATTTATGTATCTACACCCATATAGTATACCTCTCTCTCTCTCTCTCTCTCACAGGGATAAATGGCTTCTCTGCTCTCCTTTCATACACACAGACAAAGGTCCCCTTTTTTCACACATAGACTCCAGCTTCCTTTCCTCTTTTCACACACAAACACAGGGACAATGGCTCTTGTTCTTTCTCAGACACACACGCATACACGGTATTCCTCTACCCTCCTGTCACATTCATACACAGGGCTCCTCCCCTCTCACACACTTGCATACATACTTGCACACAGAGCTCCTCTCTCCTCACATATACACAGGTTTGCATGTCTCATCTCTTCTCTCTCTTATATCCCATTTTCTATATGCCTTTCCCATGATTCCTTGATGACAGTTCCTTCCCTCTATTGATTATCTATAATTGCTCCTGAATACAGTGTTTGTACATAATTGTTTGCGTGTTGTCTCTGTTAGTTTGTGAGCTCCTTGACAACAAGGACAGGTTTTTGTCTTTCCTAGTCTCCCAGCCCTCAGTGCAATGCCTGGCACATAGTAGGTACTTAACAAATGCTAGATGACTGACACACACTGCTCCTCTCCTCTGATCCAAACATAGGGCAACTCATATGCAGACTATGCACATGCATGCACATAAAAACACACATTCACAAGGTTCCCCCTCCCCTTCTCTCACACAGAGACAGAGGGCTCCTCTTCTTTTCCCACCCAAAGACAGGGATATAGACACACATACACACATACACACAGGGGTCTTCTCTAAAACAGTGCTAACTCCTCCCTATCCCTACAGTCTCACTCTTTTCAAGACACAGGAGCCAGTCTCTCCTCTCACACACACAGACACACACACACAGTCTCTAGTCCTCTTTACTCACACAAAATCACAAGGTTCCTCCCCTTTCCACAGGCAGACACTTTGGGGGTTGTCCCCCCTTCACCCAGAGACCACTGACACAGAATTAATCTCTTACACACACACACACACACACACACACACACA